CGTCTGGGGGGCCCTCCAGCCACTGCAGACAGAGGCTGCTTTGCAACAACCTTCCCTAGTCTGTCCCTCATGCTGCTGCCTCTGATATAGGCAGAGGCAGCAAAAGTCAGGGAAAATGCATGTAGTTGACAAGATTAACTGATAAGCCTAATTATGACAAAGACCAGACAAGAAGTCTTGGTTGTCCTAATCCTGGCTCCAAAACATGTATCTGAATTTGCTTAATTCATTTAACCAGCTAGTGCTTAAATTTTCCATCATTTATACGATGTACAGAGCCACCTCAAAATAACGTATTGAGTAGTGACTCGTTTTTAAACATTTGACTAAAATGTTATATGCTGATGGTGCTTTTTTGAGTGAGGGGTAAAACGAAACTCAGTTTTTAAGCCTCAGATAAAAAGCACTAATAGCAACAACAAACCTTATATTACCATAGAACAGGTACAACATAGGCAGTGACAATAAAAATGTTTGATCTCTACCTTTGTGTGACTCAGCCCTGTTCTGGAACTACCATCTCAAGCACTGCACAGTTAAAATGACCATGTCCGTTTAATCCTAGACATGACTGCAAGAACTGTCAAGAGTACCACTTTGTACATGTCAACAGTATAAAATCTGCCACCACTAGTACTACCAGTTCTCAGTAGGCATTACAAAACATACTGAGACCAGATAACATTTGCGCACAGATTATCTGGACCAGAATTTGAACCAATGACCTAGATGTGAAAGGCTTTGTACTCCATAACTAGATCATTCAGACATATACCAGTGTCCATTTTCTTGAGATGAATTTATAGTTGAGCTGTCTTATTTCTCGCTCTTTCTCCCTGCCTTCCCAGCATCCAAAATAGGAAAAAGACAATTTATTGTGTCCACTAGTCTTGCTTATTTCTATGATTTTATTCTTCTTACAAGGGGATAGAATTTGAATCTGAATGAAGTTCAACCTGCTTTTTTATTATGTAGTAGAGCAGGGGTTCTCAAACTGTGAGATACCACGACCCCCCGGGGGGGTCGGAACCCACAGTTTGAGAAACATGGTAGTAGAGGATTTTATAAAGGAAAGGGAACAATTTACCTTCACTGAGCAGCCTAGCTGTGTCTCTATCCCGAAATGAGACATCACTTAGCTGAGTTGGGCACCTAAACTGTAGCATCTTCAGTAAATAATGGATTCCATCAGTAAGACACTGAATACAAATTATACAGAAAACAGAGATAAATGTTAGAACAGCACACAACGACTTAGATATTAATGTAATCAGTTCTAGCTAGATTTTAAATTAAATGTTTCCCAAGTACATATTGGAAAGAAAAATACAATGAGTATAATTTTAAAGGCAAAAGTGGGGATATTAAATTTAGATTAATTAATAAAATGATGGGATTTCCATCGACTGTTCAATTAGCCTATAAGAGCGCCTTCGCTTTTGAAATGTAGCAAGAACCCTACCAGCCTCTTGCTACAGTTCAAAAGTAGAAGTCCCATAGGTAGTGCGGGCTTCCTTTTGAAATGTACAAGAAGCCAATTAGGACTTTTGTACATCTCAAAGGCTGAGGCACAAGAGGGAGTGCGGGGCCAGTGGGGGTGGGGGGTGTCTCCCTGCTGGCCTGCGCTCCCTGTGGCGCTTTAGCTTTTGAAATGTCCAAGAGCCCTGGTGGGGCTCTAGTACATTTCAAAAGCAGAATCACAACAGAAGTAGCGCAAGTGGAGATGGCTTCAGTCCCTGCTCACGCAGTTTCCACTGTGCCTCTACCACTCCCGGGCCCCGCAGAAACAGTGCTGGAGAGAACTAGTTCTTAAGCCAGCTCCCCACAGCACTGGCTTCTTCTCCCTCCCCTTGCTGCCTCTTTCTGATAGAGGCAGCAAGGGCGGCAGGGGGAAGTGATTAGTCACATCTCTAGTCAATTATCCGATAAGCAGAAGCTTATCGACAAGCTTCTGCTTATCAGATAGTCGACTATTCTCTTACATCCTCAGGCAAAAGTCATTTTTTAACTTGTGAAGAGTCACAAATTCATGGAATTACTCCCTCCCTCCCCATCTTCCTGTATTCAGATACAAAACATAAGCCATTTTAGTCTTAACTAGAATCATAAATATAGCAATCTATCAGCCCGTCCATTATAAATTATGTTTAAAATTTCATCTCAAATTAGTTTTATGTACTAACAAACACAAAAGTAGTATTTTCAGGGAAATTTTCAAATGGCTGTTGAACAGATTCAAAGTTCAATAAATTATTATTCTAAGTAGACAGTGTTCAATAGTGAATTTTTCATAAGTGCTTTAGTGATTTAAGATCCTAAATGCTATTTAAGTTCCTATTTGCAAGTGGGATATATGTATTTAGATGCTTAAATCTCAAAGAGTCAATAAGATCGGACAAGGAAAAGTTACATTATTATAAATTAAAGTTTAAATTCCATCAGTTATTCCATTTAAGAGTGCCCTTTAAAAAAACCCACTCACTTTGGAAGGGATTTAAGAAAACTGAAAATAAAAAGAAGCGCACAAGTGAGTATCTGTTTAACAATAGCAGCATAATTGAAAAAATTACCGCCCCCCCTGAAAAATTTCCCCCCCCCCCCCCCCGCCCCGTCAGACAAGTCACTTAGGTGACTGAAAATTTTATTAAGTTTCCAGCTGTCCTTCAAATTGAGTCAGACCAGTGACAGAAGAGAAAACTGTATATTAGGTTTTTTAATCATCCACTTTGTGGCTGTTGTGATTTTGTCAACTCCAATCTAACTCAAAGCAAACAGCTTGCTTGAGAATCACACAGTTATCTCAAGCGCAACAGCTTGTTAGAATTACAAATTCTAAAATGCCTGCTGCAGGAAGAAAAAAGGGCTTTACCTTTTTAAACAAGTAACTGTTTTCTGTCAGCCAGTCTTCCCTTTCTTTTACAGTGTGACAATACATGTAGAGTAGAGCTCCTCGTCTCCAGGAGAGACATTCTAACAATTCTGCACCAAGTACACCAACTAGCTGAAATAAAATTGAAAAGCTGAACCGAAAACTGAAGCTTCTGAGTCTCAAAGAAAAATAACGTTGTTTTAACTCTATAAAAATAAAAAAAATGCATGGAAACTATGAAGGGCACAGAGTTTAATTTTAGGTTATCCGGTCAAAAAGATCTCCTGGATTGAACTAAACTAGCAAGAACTACCACTGATAGTCCAGTGAGCTGCTTCTAAAAACAGTCAGTATTATAGACAGATAAGAATCAGAATCTTTTAAAAGGACCTCAAAAATACTAAGTGTTATTCTCTCTTAAAAACCCCAATCATTTGAAATAAGGATGTTGCTATTATTCAGTACTCACCTCTTGACACGTATTACTTTCTTTAACTAGAACTTCTGGTTCTGAAAGAATATTGATAAGTTCTTTAACTCTCTGTAAGGAAGAATCTTCTGGAAAGTTTTCATCTACAAGTTGGTTCTCCTCAAAATATGTGATATCCAAGACTATCTATAAAAAGGGGAAATACACAAGACATAAAAATATACTATAAATAAAATCAACATATTCATTAAATTACATAATAAGATGTGAGCTGATTAAAATTACAATTTTAAAGTTAATTATTTTGTAATAATATTTAATTGTGAAAAATCACTCAAGTTTACATATGGCACAGTTAAATGTTTACAATTTCAATCTCTAACTTTGTCCTCCTCTAACATTGGTACAACTCTCATTCATTCTTCCTTGTCTCTGATCCAGAGCATTAGGTAACATAAATTTTCTGAAAAATTTGTGCAGCCACCACAAAATGAACTTCAGGAGCTTAAGAACACGGAGAAATTTTTTCCATGCTTTGCCACATTTTCTTTAGCTATAAATTTTACTGCTTCTAAAAGCATGTCTCGTTTAATTACTATACCTGTGTATAAAGCTGCAAAAGGTTTGAAGGATTTACAGCTTCTTTATCTTCCTCACAAAGAGGTTTCAATTTCTCCAAAGAGATCCCACCTTTCACTAAAAAGGCATCTGTAAGAGAGTGAGGAAAGACCTTAGAAAGCCACAGAAACGTCAGTCTGGTGTAACGACAGAAAAAGAAACCCTTCTTTTTTTGCTGCTAGTTGCGGTTTCCTCCAGGCAAACATGACTTTCTGGGCTACTGCCCAGGACTTGCTACCTGGTCCAGGGGTTGCAGATTAGGAGGGATGGGGTTTCTTTTTCTGCCATTCCACCGGCAATCAGCCTCACAGACTTTGAACAGCCCAGCCTGTCAGTCCTTATCATTCCATTTTTTGTATCCACCAATCCAGTCTCTGCAGGGAGAGGAAGGCTCGGGCCAGTAGCAGGGCAAACACAAGCCTGTGCAAAGCGTAGTGCTACTCACAACCGGCTGCGCAGTGAAACACTGGAACAAGCCAGAGGCTCTTCCCCCTTCCAGTAAGCGCAGGGGGCCTGGAGGAGTCGGGGCTGGCTGGGAACAAGTGTCCTGGGGAACCCGAGCACGTGTTGGGTGCCTCCGGCCGCTGGGGCAGCGCTAAGGCCCCCCCCGCGCTCACCATCTCCGCCCGCGCCTCTCAACCGCTCCAGCCTCCGCTCCAGCCCCGCCAGCCGCTGCCGCAGCGCAGCTGCAACTGCGGCACCAGCCATCTCCGCGGCCACCGTCACGTGACTCCACCTCCGGGCTCACCTGACTTCGTCACCGCCGTAATCACGTGACACGGGGAGGGCTCCGGCGACCCAGCTGGTGAGCACGCATGCGCTGTCCTAAGTGAGATGGGCCTAACCAATTAGATGCGGGGGAAACTCAATCCCCGCGCATGCCCCATAGGGAGAACGAATGTGCGCGCTCTTTCTGAGCAGGGCACCGCCCCCTTGCGAGTGCGGAGTTTAACCCCTTGTTCTCCGCTCTGCTGTTACTCCTTACCCAAGGCCCCCCTCTCCCGCCTTGGCCCCTCCCTCTGAGCAGACGGGGTGGGCTCCGGCCACCCCAGCGTGGCGCTGCTGACCCCAGGCCGGGCATAGGCTTGGGACGGGGATGGAGGGAGCGAAGCAGAGTCGTACCCACCTGGGGTAGAATTGCCTCGTTTCTCTGGGGTCAGGCACAAGTTTTATAGTAAACACAGAAATCGCCACCATTAAGCTTCAGAGTGAACGGCCGGGTCCGAAAGGGGCAACTCATGCCTCGGGGGGACTTAGCAGCTGGGCCATGCTTGGAAAATTTTTATTCACTAAAGGGGAGAGCAGGAAAACAAACAAATAAAAATCCTTCAGAAATGAACAGGCATGCGGAGGAGGTGCATGAATGTCTTTTGCTCACTCTCACAATCCAGACTTGAATGGTGTTTTTCTTCCTACAATGCACCTTAGGGGAGAATCTCTGATGGAATCAGTTGTTTCTGAGCTAGGATGCCCACCCAGGCCTGATGTAAAATGGTTCTTGGCATTAAAATAATTGTAAAGCAACATTGACTTAAACCAAAGGCAGAATGATTAAAAGGCAAAATGTTTCAGAGTTAAAACTGAGTGTTGCCCAATTGCAACTGCTTCACTGCCCAGGGATACATTTCTGAATATCAGATAAAGATAAATTACATCTATATTTCTTTTGGAGACATGTTGCTGTTTATACTTGTCTTGCTTCTTATCCAGCCAACAGTACTATCTGGAGGTGAAGACCTTCAGAAGTTCTGCAAAGGCTGCCTGCTATGAAAAGATATTTCTCTCTCTTTTTCCCCAGCAAGCTTCTAGCACACCATAAAAATACACTAATAACCACAAAACATTAAAAAATGTATGTCCAATATTTTAAAATTCTGCAAAATTTATTTTTCAGAATAACACTACATAGTCACACCAGTTTCAGTTATTTTTGTAATTTATTTCAAAATACCTCTCAGCAAGTATTTATGTAACACTACATAAAAAATCTTCCAGCAGTAGAGTTAAAGGAACCTCTATGACAATCCAATTCCTACGTCTCTGCCCTATTCCCACTCCCAGCACTCAAATGGAATGGCCAGAGAAGCACAGCTTTCCCACTTCAAAGCACCGCTTTTCTCCCGCTAGTTGTGTGGCTGCCCCATGCTCCTTTGAAGCCTTCCAGTTGGTGTTTGTGCTGCTCACTGCTTCCTGACAGCCACCTGTCTAGACGCAGCCCATCAGTCTGCCAATGTTTCTGGATTTTGAGGATGGCAAGGTATTATATAAAAAGTAACCTCGGGCAAACTATACTGTTATATCCAGCTATGCATCCCCTCTGAAATCAGGTAGGATATCTGTTGTTCAGGTGGAATTGAAAAAAGTTGGAAACCATAATAGTATTTTGCTCACTTTCTTTCTTCCTCCCCCCTCTCTCAGATGAATTTTAATGTTCAATAATGTACATAAATGATTACTAACTACATAAAGATTACTGTGTTCGCCTAACCAATCACAATATTGTGCTACCAGTTTGCTTGGTAAGGAAATTAAGTGTATGAAATGCTTTACTATTGCTTTGTAAAGAATTGGAGTTAAAATGTAGTTCTCTCTGTTCCCTGACAAGGAATGTTCGGAAGGAGCCTACTTAGCTACTTGATGTGCATGTTACATTACAGAATCTAGAAAAACCTGTTTCTGTAGCCCTACCAGCCTATCTGGCATGCAGTATTTTTTCTTTTAAGGCCATCTGTTTGTAATAGCATAGTTCAACTGGTGCATCTCTTACTAGTCACACATTGCACTGTAAAATATCATCTGTCTCTTCACTATTGGAGCAAAGGGACAATCTGGACAATGCTTTCCTAGCTTGTGACATTATAGGGACTTTGGCCAAAACCCCAGAGAGAAACTATGTCTAGACTACGGGGTCCGCTGCGTACGGGGAGTGCATTTGCTCTTTGCTTTTTTTCATGGAAGAGAAAACGTATTCTTTCAGGGAGACCTGTATCCCTCATTCCATGAGGGATAAGGGCTCCACCAAAAGAGGTGGCTTTTCCACCATTTGGCCCAGTCTAGATTGGAAAAAAAAAAGCTGAAAAGCAATCGGAAAAAGCTACGCAAATTGCGGTGCATGGTTTGCATAGCTTTTTCCGATAAAGCCTCATAGTCTAGACCTAGCCTAAGAGATTCACAGCAGATATAATTAGTTCTCTTTCTTCCTGAATCAGAATTAAGAACAGTCTCTGTGGGTTCCAAACTACACCCAACTATGGCACTGTTGCCGCTGGCATCTGTAGGAATTAGCTGATTGGGCTATTTGTTTCTTTAATGAAATATGCCAAATGTTAAAGAAATAATAAATTCCTTCTTATCCTTATTCTAAAATTAGTTGGAGCAGTCTGCCTCTGTTGGATGCTGTTAACTTCCATCAGCACAATTTAGACTAGCGATATTTACCAAGCACATTAACATAGCTTCTGCACTAGTAAATCACTTATGTGTAGCTTCCTCAGGATAAGAAATTTACTTCATGTTGCTTAATCACAATTGGCTGTTGCCTTACTTTACAGGTGCAATGTAACTATACATTATAATTCTGTAGGTATTAGATCAGGGTATAGTATATGTTGGGGTGGGCAATAATTTTTGATAGGGAGGCCACTCGAAGAATTTGGTAAGTAGTCAAGGGCCACTCTTCCGTGATATTAATGGAGGCAATGCAGGGCCTGGGATGGAGGTTGAGTGAAGTAGGAGGTTGTGGATTGGGGTGCAGGGTCTTGCAGGGGGGTGTGATCTGGGCAGGGGATTAGGGTGCAGGGGTCTGGGAAATGGTATGGCTGCAGGAGCAGGGATGCAGGGGATTTGTTTACATGGGGCAGGGGTGCAGGAGGGGAAGCAGAGGGTTGGGAAGAATGAGGGACTGGGGTGTCAGCTGTAGGCTCTGGCTGGGAGGTGCTTATCTAGGCAGTTCCTGGCCAACAGCCCAGCAGAACCCTTGGGCAGGCTCCCTGCCTTCTGTGCCCCTGCACACCACTCAAAGCAGTTGGCTGTGGGAACCATGGTTTTCCTGAACACTGCAAGTCCCTGGAGTGGGAGGTGGGCACCATGTGCTGCCTGCACTGCAAACATGGTCCAGGAAGCTTCCATTGGCTGGTTTCCACTTTAGGTGGAGTGCGAGGGCACAGAAGGCAGGGAGCCTGCCCGAGGCATCCATTGGGCTGCATTTTGCCCACCTCCGTTTTACAGGCATTCCCTGAGTTATGAACATCCTCACAAATGCTCACCAGCAGTATTAGGGGAGCAGGCAAGAGGCTTATGACGGTGAGCAGTGCGAGCACAGGCCGGGGCACTTCAGCCAGCTCCATCCTGACCACCTCCGCAGACGCTGCACCCAGCCTCTGGTCACTGGGAGGCAACAAGTGGTGCCAGTGCAGGATGCAGGATTCCAGAACAGCAGGGGGTAGCTGCACAGCCAGCCGCTGGAGATAAGAGGGCTGCCAGGGTATGGGGTAGGGGCTGCCTGAGCCAGTGCTGAACCCATGGTGGGGCAGGCGGCAGCTGCAGAATGAGGATGCAGGCAGCCAGAGCCAGTGGTGAGCCTGCGGGAGGGAGCGGGGGCTGCTGGGGATGGGAGGACGGCCTGGGATGGGGCTGGCTGTAGGAACCAACACAGAGCCTGCAGGGGGGAGGGTGGGGCTGAGTAGGGTCAGATTAAGAAAAGAGCTTTAGGGGCTGCAGCCCATGTCTCTGGGCTAAGGGGGCTACCAAAGTGCAGATCTTTTTGCAGGGTCCCCTTAGCCCAGGGGTCGGGGCTGCTGCCATTAAGGTGCCTTTGTTCCACCCCCGCTTGGTGGGGAGGGGACATGGCTCTGTGCTCTGCCATTCCCCCTCCCTACAGAGATGGAGCTGAAAGCACGAGGAAGCTTCTCTGCTTCCCTCACCTTCAGGCTCAGCCCCTGCAGCTCTCTTTGGCTGGGTATCAAGGACAATGGGAGGTGCAGGGCAGTGCACAGACCCACCTGCCCGTTTCCCTCCCTGAGACCCAAGCCACTAACAACGAGTCTGATGGCAATTTAAAGACTAACAAATGTATTAGGGTGTTATCCAACTCTTTTCAATAGCTCACAAGAAGACATTTTTCTCCAGCCCTGCAAACATTTGACTCTTTGCTGCCCCATCTACAATTTTTCAACATCTTTTAAAAATGTGTCCCCTGGAAAAGGCTGCAGTATCCAGTCTCTGTCTCATGGATGCTGTGTCACCTCCCTGCTGATGGCTTTAGCTCTGCTCACCACAGCAACACCCTGTGAGTTCCTCTTAAGTGGCTTGCCCGGCATGACCCCTGAATTCTTGGACCTTGCTTGCCTGGATACAGTTTCCCATTCTGGGGTGTGGTCTGTGTGCTTTGGGGCTAGGGCTAGGAGCTTGTATTGGCTCAGGGAAATGTGTTTTGTTTGCACGGGTCCAGCTTCCCAAGGGTTTCAGAATACTCCATGCCACTGTCTTGACTTCAGCCTTATTTACCACTCTGCTAGTATGTTGTCACCCACACATATTACCAGCAGTGATTTTATATTGGCTTCAAGTTCATTGATAACAATTATTTAAATAATTAGTTCATGAGAGCCTCTTCAGAACCCTAGTACCAAGTACCTTGCTCCTTACAACCCAGCAGGAAAAGGCCATCCAGTACAGTTCTTACACAAGGGCTAAGAGCAGAACACATGTACACCCACGTTATCATATGCATTTGCAGACCGTTCTTCAATTTAGCACACATGTAACTTCCTGATCACTGTTTCAAACTCTTCTGAATGGTGTGTGTCAATATCTGGACATCCCACAATGGTTTTTACTTGTTTGAGTTATTTTAAACAAACTTAGGTTTTTTTTATTTTAACAACAGATGGTCACTATTCATTATGCAGAAATTTGATCTAATTACTGTGTGCTCAGTTTCACTGTTTTGGGACTCACATTTTATTGATTTCTGCCACAAACCAACCTGTGACAGAACCTTGTACATTTATTAACAGACTCAGTCCAATTACTCTGCTTCTGCATCATCATCAGAGCTTTGCTCTGCAGCAGCATACATGTGAATGTCTTTTGCTTTTGTGTTTCTGCATTTAGTACTGTATATGGCACTCTTTTGCAAAATGTCTGTTTTTATTCTGTTATTAACCTGCTACTCATGTGCTGAATAAATTTGTCATGTTGTGATTGGCCTTGTATTTGGTTTCTGCCATTTGTTTATCTTTGTATTTTAGCTTCTCATCTTTTGGTGTGCTCTTTTAATTAGATAAACTTTCTTTCCTATACTGCTTGCCAAACACTTTGTTTAACAAGCATTAGTTTTACTAGTCCTGCAAATATCCACTGTTCTTTAAAAGTCTGTTTCTTGTTGTATCTGTTAAGTATTCAAATTCATGTGTCTTACCTTTATTACTTAGCTCTGTAATGTAATAATATACAAAGCAGCAGTTTGTTTTTTTAGAAAGACAATGTATCTTCCATAAGCATCATGTGTAGTTTACAGTATTCTTAAAAATGTTAATGACTTTGTACAGTACTTTCCAGTCTTTTTCATACTCCCACTGGAATTCATGTGTAGATTTACAGTGCATCTGTGTCTGCAACATGCAGTAGTGTGGAAGGTTTCACTCTCTACTGACATCTCTGTAATATATTTTCTTTCAGGAAAGCAGCGAAGCTCTGCAATCATTTTTCCAGTTTTCTACTAAATTCGTATTAAACCAAGAGAGTCAGGGACCTTCATTTTCTTCAAAGACTGATGATATGGTGTCATAAGAAAACAATAATTGATTAGTTAAATAGTTACTTGGTGTATACCTGCCAAATATATTTGTAGCTAAGTGCAGTGCACAAATGTATGTCAGACATCCATGAGCCAATGAATCTACCACTGTCCAAAACATGCTTCAAAAACTGAATTTACTTGTCAAATTCAGATGGATCTGAAAAAAATGGTTTCAGACTGATAAAAGTTCTCGTACTCCCAGATATAGTTCCTGCTAAGGAAAGTGCCTGCATGTCCATGCATAAAAAATTCTCTGCCACACAACTCTGCAGAGCCATGCAGCAGCACTCACCTTTTGGAAGGTGAGTGGCGTGGCCGGTGGCTGCTCCAGGCTGGGACCAGCTGAGGCAGCGTGATGGAGGGGCTGCAGGGGGTGGGAGACTAAGGCCGTGTGGTGGTGGGGTCAAGGGTTTGCTCTGGTGGCTGGGGCTGGGACCTGCCACATGGTGGGGTGTGGGGCCTGCTCAGGTGGCCAGGGCTGGTTCAGGGAGGCCCATTCGGGGGGCCATGGGCTGGCTAGTAGGGCCTGCTCAGGGAGGCTGAGGCTGAGAGGCAGGGGCTGCATGGTGGGGGGCCAGGGCTGCTCTGGCAGCTGGACTGCAGGGTGGGGAGT